AAATTGGTTGGTCTCGCTATCTTGAAACAGGAATACTATGGAAACTCATGTTTTTTTCTGTTAATACTATCGGTATACTTTCATGGTATCAAATGGGGAATCTCATTCTAATATCAATTATCGTATTTAATAGAATAAAATCTTAAAGAAATAAAATAGTTTAAAACCACTTTGTGTATTTTGCTGAATAAAGAGATCATGTGGAAAGTATATCCTGTTAGACATTAGAATTAAATAATTCTAATATAAAAATAAAAACCAGAAAAAGGATATTGGGGAAACTTTAGATTTTCCACTTAAAATCATATGTTTGAAACATCACATTTTTAATCAGAACCCACAATTATTCTGAGGATATCAATTGGATCCCAAGAAATTGTCTATGCGAGATTTAATCGCGACGATCTTTTTAGGTTCTTTCAGACAAATTATTCGAATACTCTCTTATAATACTCGTAGTGTTAGACTAGGTTAGGTTACGATATAATTGAACTAGAAAACGTATATTTCCGCGATTCGTGTACACTCAGTCGACGACGAGTTCCTACGACCAGCACTAATCGCGCAAGATAAGGCAGAGCGAATAGGTCGAGCAATCGGTAATTAATAAATCGCAACTAATTTTCTTATTTAAGTCGTCGTAAATTATTTATCGGCTAACTGCCTTCGGACGTCTAATTATCGCGACTTCACGACCGATATATACGAGGCTTTCCTTCTCGATTTATTAGCCAATTACAATCCATATATCCGCCACCGGTCATGGAGCAAGATCTGTATCTGCGGCTAATCACTTTTGTACCTGTCCCCGAGAATTACGGACCGCGGTTTGCTTTCACGGTTTCTCCCCTTCCTCATTAGGCAATTACATCGAGTCTTACATCCGCGCACGCAGCTCGACGATTTTTCGTTCGCGTCACACCCGCTCACTCCCGCGGAGTCACACCGGAGGCGATGGAAAACATTTCTGGCCGTTGCGTCGCTTTGTGAGTGCCGCGATCGCGCGTCCTAATAGCCTAGATACGGCGATCGCGAACCTGACGCGCGATCGAACCTTCCGCGCCGATCGTGTGCGTCTCGGGGAACCGTAGCAGCGGGACAATGGTAGTACGGATTCGAGTTCCGCGTGACGTTTGTGGAACGGAATCAAGAAAGTCAGCGAAACCTTAATGGACGAGTTACAACCCTGTCGGGAAGTCGACATTGGAGTGGAAGCAACTTCAAACTTTAACTTTACTGGCTGAGTGCATGAACGAAGCAATTGCTAGAATTGCTCAGGGATTGAATTCCTGTGGCTTTTGGGAATATCGACATGTTCGCAGATGAAATAAGCATATGTACAATATGTCTTTATTGACAAACGCTCCGCATTCTTTTCTCGAAAGCTAAACGCGAAAACGACGCAAGAACAACGTGATTCAAAGTGTCTTAACGCGTCTCTCATCAAAATACAAAGCAGACATGTTCAGGTGAGCTATCCACAAATTTATATTTTAATTACAAACGTCTAGATGTTATTCTGTAATATCTAGACATTAAACTGTTATAACTGTTTATAACAGTATAATATCTAGATGTCATTCTAGATGTTATTTAGTCACCCGAAGACTAATTTATAATGACTTAAAATGTCTTAACGCTTCTCTCATCAAAATACAAAGCAGACATGTTCAGGTGAGCTATCCACAAATTTATATTTTAATTACAAACGTCTAGATGTTATTCTGTAATATCTAGACATTAAACTGTTATAACTGTTTATAACAGTATAATATCTAGATGTCATTCTAGATGTTATTTAGTCACCCGAAGACTAATTTATAATGACTTAAAATGTCTTAACGCTTCTCTCATCAAAATACAAAGCAGACATGTTCAGGTGAGCTATCCACAAATTTATATTTTAATTACAAACGTCTAGATGTTATTCTGTAATATCTAGACATTAAACTGTTATAACTGTTTATAACAGTATAATATCTAGATGTCATTCTAGATGTTATTTAGTCACCCGAAGACTAATTTATAATGACTTAAAATGTCTTAACGCTTCTCTCATCAAAATACAAAGCAGACATGTTCAGGTGAGCTATCCACAAATTTATATTTTAATTACAAACGTCTAGATGTTATTCTGTAATATCTAGACATTAAACTGTTATAACTGTTTATAACAGTATAATATCTAGATGTCATTCTAGATGTTATTTAGTCACCCGAAGACTAATTTATAATGACTTAAAATGTCTTAACGCTTCTCTCATCAAAATACAAAGCAGACATGTTCAGGTGAGCTATCCACAAATTTATATTTTAATTACAAACGTCTAGATGTTATTCTGTAATATCTAGACATTAAACTGTTATAACTGTTTATAACAGTATAATATCTAGATGTCATTCTAGATGTTATTTAGTCACCCGAAGACTAATTTATAATGACTTAAAATGTCTTAACGCTTCTCTCATCAAAATACAAAGCAGACATGTTCAGGTGAGCTATCCACAAATTTATATTTTAATTACAAACGTCTAGATGTTATTCTGTAATATCTAGACATTAAACTGTTATAACTGTTTATAACAGTATAATATCTAGATGTCATTCTAGATGTTATTTAGTCACCCGAAGACTAATTTATAATGACTAATTTATAATGACTCCACAATTTTATCCACGTCTGCACTAATCTACCATCTATTTCTAATTTTGTATTTTACAAATGAGGAAGTTTGTATTATGAAAATCACAAAACGCCTCATATGTAGTAGGTATAATACATCCTACTAATTGTATGCATTTATGAGCAAAATTATGTGCGAAAAACTCTGCGAGTTCACTTAGATTCGGGTTCTGATGAATTGTCAGACGAAGAAACTGACAAGCGTGTAAAATGTAGCGAAAATTACAATAATATAAAATTGAGAGATGATTAAATGCAGTGGGGATCTTATTGCGGTTGGTCGCATAAACATACGCAGTTAAATGTTCTTCATACTTTCTTTATATTATATGTGAAGGGACGTACACATTGTCGCAAACTTAGGGCAATGCAAGATGTTGCAACCCCTTACTTTCAAGGTCTAAAAGAATTCTTTTCCGTATTTACATTTTAATTTGTGATAATCTCGGAAAACGAGTTAAAGAAAGAATGCTTGTAATTGAATAAATTAAAGTTCAAATATAGATATATGTAAAAATTAACGTCTTATCTTTATTGTAGGGCATATTGTATAGTATTACCGTATAATTTAAAGCAAAACTGAATCCATTATCAAGACTCTCCGACGTCCCATCAACTCATCAAGTAAATAAGAACCGATCCAATTTACATGACTTGCGTCTATTCCTATAATACAAAGTGTGATAAACATTTAGTGATATCGTTTTGTAATAAAATAACAAAGACAAATATTCGACAGCAGAAAACTGAACGTCGCGCGTGATAGAATTAAAAACGATTGTAATTGAATAAATTAAAATTCAAATAAAGATATATGTAAAAATTAATGTCTTATCTTTATTGTAGGGCATATTGTATAGTATTACCGTATAATTTAAAGCAAAAATGAATCCATTATCAAGACTCTCCGACGTCCCATCAACTCATCAAGTAAATAAGAACCGATCTAATTTACATGACTTGCGTCTATTCCTATAATACAAAGTGTGATAAACATTTAGTGATATCGTTTTGTGATAAAATAACAAAGACAAATATTCGACAGCAGAAAACTGAACGTCGCGCGTGATAGAATTAAAAACGATTGATGATTAATTAATAGCGCGCTTGCGTAATGTGAGATTAGATAATGTGCATTAGAACGGAACATTGCGACATACGATAGATTTGCATACGACATTCGCCGAGAAAAATTTATTCCAAATTTATTAGTCTGCAAGTGAAAATAACATCCCGGAGATTACAGCTCCTGTATAGCTGGCTATTTGTTTAAATTAAGAACACCGAGTATGTGTACAGATCTCGTCTCGAAGCCACGAGGTTACGGGGATCAAAGATCACGCGTGTATAGAATGCAAAATTACGCGTCGAAGCACACAGTGAACGGTCTTACAATCGTCGCTGTAATCAAACTTCAGACTGGTCTGATAACGGACGCGAGCGTCCAACGTTTTCTCGGTTGACAGCGGCAGTAAATTCTAGCGCGATACGACTCCGAACTTTTATCTTACGGATTTGCCATGACGGCTCGGTTTATTTTCTGTCATTAGCCCTGCTACGCCGTGTCCATCGAATCTTTCCGCTCGACGAGAAGTCATCGATCGGGAAGATATCTCGTTGATCACACGTGATCGTAGTTTCAAAGTCTCTCTTTCTTTCTCTCTCTTTCTCTAAAGTTTTAAGGTCTAATCGCGATGTGAAGGCGAACCAGCGTATGAGCCAATTCTTCGGCACGTAAACTTGATAATATCCGCCTACTCGCGTGACCCGCGGCACTAATACAGAGCATTATGAGTCTGCGTGCCGTGAATATGCGAGTGTATTAGGAGCTCGCATTTTCCATTTAATCACCGACATTGTAACCCGCGGTTCCCAGCAAAAAAGCCAACGCAGTCGAGACTACTTCTCTCTTCCTCTCTCTCTCTCTCTCTCTCTCTCTCTGACTTTGTCTCTCTCTTTCTATCTCTCGGATCTCTAAAGGTCTTTAGGGACTTTAGGGTCTTTAGAATTTTCGGAGGAAATACGTCTCCGCGGTTGATTATTAAGATATCAAGGTATGATAAAGCGACTCCAGTTAAGAGTGGACGATAAATTCGCTTCGACGGATCATTTATATCATACGGGAGAAACGATAGCGCGTGTAATTTTAGCGTCGGGATCAGCTTGGAATGGACCGCAAGGTGGCACCGGTCATAAATCATCGGCTAGCATTGTAACACGAAAATATTCGTGGGAGCCTGGTGTTCGATTTGTTTAGCCTGTAACACGATATTTCGCGCGTCTTCGCTGCGAGATGACGACGACGTTTGATCTCACCATTCGGGCTGGTGGGTCCGCCGTGCGGCGTGTAAAGATGCCCATGAGGATTGTGCGGGTGCGGGGGTGGGGGTAGCCACGCGAAGCCAGCGAGAGAATGCGGAAATCCTGTGGGGTTCCAGCCGGGAGCACCGGGCGCTCCGGCGAGATACGGCGGCCCCTGCGAGGGCCTTTGCACTCCAGGGTGAATCGGTTGAGGCACTACCGGACTGGACTTCTCCTCCTTCTCCTGGCCGGTCTCCAGGTCCCTCTCCAGCTCACAGTCCGAGTCCATAACGTTCAGGTCCTCGGACTGACCGACGCTCCTGATCTCTTGGTCCTCCAGATCCAGATGGTCTGTCGTTCGGTCGCCTTCCAGCGAGCGGTTTGCCTCAGAGTCGCTGCGATCGTCCAAGATTTCTCGCCTGCTCGCTGGCGACACGGATCTCGGGTTGGTGATCCTGTCGATCCTTTCATCCTCCTCTTGAATGCGTTCCTGTTCTCGTTGGAGCATCGTCTCGCCAATCCCGCTCGGCGAGTTGCTCGCTAAACGATGATCGTCGCGGTCCCTCGGGATCTCTTGGTCTATTCTAATCGGCGAAGAGGATTTATCGTGACTCGCCCGGGAGAAATCCTTTACCGTGAGTACCTCTTGTCGCACGGGCGCGTGATCCTGTTCGAGTCTGTTCGGATGATGATGATGGTGGTGATTGGCGAAGCCGGCGAGCCCGTGAGGACTCAACCTGGCGAGCAGTTCTCTGCTCTGGAGCCTCTGCTGCTCTATCAGCAGTTCTCGATACCTGCTCTCCATCTCGAGATTCTTCTCGACGTCCATCCTGTCGTCGTTGTCGCGTCTGGTCGCGAAGGTGCCGCCGCTAATGGCACTCTTCTTCGTGCCGCTTAGCAGGGCGTCGACGCTGAAGCTGATTTTGCCGCTTCGCGGCTTCAGATTCGAAGACGCTGACGTCGGGGTCGCCATGTCGACGTCCTCGCAAAGGCGATCGTTGCCGGAACCCGGACCCGTCACCACGCCTTCGCCGTTGCTCATACCGATCTTGACGTATTGGTCTTTCGGCCTCTTTCACCTAGCAAGTCTCGAAACACAAGTGGCAATTTGAGCTACTTCAGTTAAACCATACTCGACAGAGTTCCTCTCTTCCTTTCAATCGAAGACCTGTATAGGAAGATTGTCCAGTCGTTTGCTCATTTCCATGCTCGATTGTCCGCAACGTCCATTATACTGTTATCTCTAACGGAGTACAGGTATAGACAGGTAAGCGTTGCACCTTCAAATGTCAGCTGATCACTGCTAGATCAGTTTTTCGTTGAGGGGACGTCGGTTCGGAGGTGATTGACGTGAGCTACGTTAGCGCGATTGAGCCACACACGGCACTTTGCGGCGACGATCTGTCACATCGCGATTCCTGGACAAATCCCGGTAACGTCCAAGAGACTTCCTCCTAGGTACAGCCCGCCACCTCAATAAGTCTCGTGCTCCGTTATTCTCGGAATCCGCCGCATCGCCGCGGTGCGACCCAGCCGACACGAGCGGATTCCCTCATTAAAGTCAGAAGAGTGTTTCTAAGATACCAACATGATGACCCAACTCTTCTTACCTCTCAATTTTTATAGCTTTCGCATCTCTACGGGTTCTTGCGGCAACGTTTACGCGCAGGGACCTTCTCTTCAAGATACCTTGTGGTCTCTTCTCACACTACGCCTGGTGAATCGATGTGAAGACATCCGAACTGTGTGCCTTCAACGAGTTGTGCACAATTGGAAGTTAAAGGCTGAATGACACACTGCCGAGGCTGACGTTGCTTGGGTGAATCCTATAGTGATAGCTACTATCGTCATAATCTGTGTCTAGCTATTGGATAAATAACGATGGCTACTTAATCCTCGAGCGAGTCTTTCCAATGTCCCAAAAGGTCTCCCCAATATTTTAAGGGAACTCTCCCGGTGTCACGTTCTATCGCGCCAATTCAAACTCTTCCTCTCACGTGGCGCAATCCGCGTGTTTAGTCTACCCCGATATCGGATGCAAAATATCGATATCGTCGCGTCGACGACCTAGCTTTTTCGAGAGCATAGCTCAGGGAGGTCAAATGCTACCGATTGCTACAACAGATTCAGAGTCCGTCGCGCGACGTCCGTCAGTGCCACGTCCAAGCAGCAGTCCAGGTCGTCCGTGTGACACGAGGAGTTATCGAAGGCTGAATCGTTCGATATGCAGGGTTCCTCGACACTCCGTTTCTTCCAAAAATACTTCTAGGTACTCGTACACCAATGACGAGTCCTCGCGACGCTTCACCACGATGATCTCGCGCGTACCTGGGTATACGGATGACGCGACGGCGGAGATAAGGTGGGAGAGCGGTTCTCCCCGGAAAAGAAACGACCGTCCACGGTGTTGAGTACTAATGTAATCGGTGTAATCTGTGTAATCTGCCGCGTGGTGACCGCCACTGCCGCGGAAACGGCACTGATTACCAGCTCGGCTGCACTCGCGGCAGAGAGCCCTGCCAGGAACCCTCTCTTTCTCTCTTTCTCTCTCTCTCTCTCTCTCTCTCTCTCTCTCTCTCTCTCTCTCTCT